AAAGCTGGCGTACCCGTCCCTAATCCAGTTACTCCTGTCAGAGTCCGTTAAAGACAGGCAGTTCTACTTTCATTTCCAAGCACCTATGCGACTGTGGCAGAGATTGCAAAATTTTCTTTAGCTTTTCATTGTCTCTGTGTTCTTTAAACGGAGCCTGTTTCTTTCTTGAACTGCCAAAGTTTTTAAAATGTGCTTTAAGGTTAGTTTTTGTTTTGTTTTGTTTTGTTTTGTTTTTCTTTCTTTCTTTGCTCCCGTTTTATACACACTTTCTGCCCTTCTCTCAGCCTGTCTCACTCACTCCCTTCCCTAGGAGCGCCAGACTTCCTCACTCGCTCTGGCTTTTCCTTTCTATCTGTCTGTGGTGCAAAGTGCTTCTCTGCAGCCCAGTGAGTCTCCCTGAAGCCTTTTATACATTCCCTGGCTAATTGCTGCAATAGAGAAATGAAAGCCTAATCTTGGTAAAGATCTTGACGTCATTGAGAAAGAGGGCTTTACTTTGGCCAGGACTTCAGTGAATAGAAAAGCAAAACTCAACAACTTTTTTTTTTTTTTTTTCCTCAGAAGGGGTGAGGGAGAGACAGTGAAATTTTGCTTTGTGATTTAAAGAGAGAGAGAGAGAAAAAAATTAATACCTTTGACAGCTTTCAGGAAATGCTTCCAAACTTTGGGGAAAGTAATTTAATATAATGTGTAGATTGATAGGACAACATGCTCCTCTGATTATCATTGTTATTAATTTATGAGGAGTTTTGGAAAAAAAGGATCCTGGAAGACAGGTAGAAAAGAGAAACAGTAATCACAAGTGTTTTTTTTTCTCTATTTCTTGCAAAAGGTGACTATTTACGGGCAATTTTTATACCATGACTTTATTTTGTATTCTATCTCTTCGTCAGATTTACAACCCAGATCCCTTTTTATATTTTTGAGTCATGATCTTACTTAATAAAATGGGAAGTGAGTTGTTAGATAGAAAACTTTAAAGCTATTTGAGTATCATCACAGTGTTTCTCTAAAGCTTCTCGAAGAATCTTGTAACAAATTTTCAGTTTTACCAAACTCCCAATGCAAAAAAAAAAAAAAAAAAAAAAAAAAAAAAAAGGACAAGACGCGGGGAGGTTAAGGCAGGTGAATCCCACAAGATCTATTGCATGGTTCAAGTCCCAGACCCAGTGGCTTGAAAATCACTTTGTGTGCATGTGTGTGTGCCAAAAATTCCTACAGGAGATTGGAGGAGAAGGGCTAGGGCATGGCCATCCCTCTAGCAGGTGATTTCTCACTTTCCCTCTCTTTCTTTCTCTCTGTCTTTGGCAAGCACACATGCCCCTAGAAAAGATAGTAACTTCAAAACAAAACAAAACAAAGTGATTTAGACTTGCAGACATGGAAGGAGCTAGGTAATCAGACCTTTCAGCTTCATTGTGCCTCTCTGCAGGTAAAACTGAAGCTTTTCACAAGGAGCATTAAGATGCAATGAAAATTATTTCTGAGAGGTCAGCATTTCATCTGCTTCTGTTAGCATAACCCTTAAGAAACTTGACACTTCAGGGAATCTTCCTTTCTCTCTTAAAAAATTATCAATGAAACTTTTAGGTAGTTAGGAGCAGATGCTGAATTGGTTCAAGGTGTCATTTTAACCATTGCTCAGTGGCTCACCTCTCCCATTAGTCTCCAGGATAGACATTTAGGTAGACAATGCTCTGGCAGAATGCCGTGACACCCACTTCTTTCTAGTTTTCCTTCCTTCCATACCTGGCAGATCTCCTCTAGGAACTATATTTTCTCTGAAGAAAAAGTGGCAAGTACAGACACTGGGGATAAAAGGGGAGATATAAAATTTTAATAGCTATTAACTAGCTGAGTTTTCCATGTACACAGGGCTCACGTACATGCACTAAACACTAGGTATAAACCTGTGGTCAGTATATTGCTGTTTTGTCACTAGGATTAAAACCTGCAAGATCACAGAAAAAAAAAGGTAAAAGTCAAGAGCAAAGGTCATTAAATGGTGAGCCCCTTGGGCTAAATTCTCCATTCAGATGCATTTTGCTTAGTTGGCAGGGTTAAGTTTTGCTTTTTTTTTTTGAAGAAATAACCCGAGGAAAATATCTTTAAGTCCTATGAGACCAGGAATTTTTATCTCACTGTGTTCACTGCTATCTCCTGGCACTTAGAACCATGCTTGGCACAGGGTCAGCTCAATGAGGATGTTCTGAAGGAATGAACAGACAGGGCAGTTAGAGGGCTCCACAGTAGGGGGCACCAGTCACATATAATATGATATGAATGGGGGTGCCCTGGAATTGAAAAATGCCATGGCCTTGTGCATGCCCCCCCCCCTCAATGACACAACACTTTCCATTCCCTACAACCTGATTCCTTCATTTTGATCATCATCAGTTTGGCCTATGATGAGTTTTGGATTTGTTTCCCATGGACTATAATTTTAGAGAAGACTTTAGAACTTAGAAAAATAAATATAAACCACATAGAAAAAGTATAATTTTCTTATGACAATCATGTGTTTTTAGCAAAAGAATATTATTCATATATATAAAGTACATTTATCTCATTCATCTTCCCAACCTCTCGATGTCCTTACAGGATAAAAAAAAAAAAAAGGACAAAGAGAGGAGGTGATAATATGGGATTTTAACTAGGGTAGATGGGAAAGCCACAGTGCCGAAGTCCCAGCCAACAATGACAGAAGGTGTGGACTCAGGAAATGACACTGCTACTCACCACTCAACTCTTAAAATGTTGCCCTTTCTCAGACATTCACTTCACCCTGTTTGAATTAAACTAGTGCTCCCTGATGTGGCAACTTCAGCAGCTATGAAGGCATTCGTTCTCCTCTAGTTGAATTTGTTCTCAAGGAGAGAGATAATGCTTGGAAATTGCAAGCTAAGTAGAAGGATTGAGGGAAATTTAGAGAAAGCTGCTTTCTTTCTTTCTTTTTTTAAAATTTATATATTTATTTTAATTTGACCAGAAACAGACGGGGGCGGGGGGGGGGTAGTGAGATAATACCCCACCAGGTCCGGGACTCGAACTGTGGTTAGCCATGTGGGAATGTCCAGTGCCTTACCCTCCACGCCACCTGATGGTCCCCAAAGCTGCTTTGTTTCATTCATCTTCCCAACCTCTTTCATTCACCTTCCCAACAGAATCATAAAACATTTTGTTATCATAGTCATTTCTTTTATCTTAGACAAAACATTTCTCCCAAGCTATTTCTCTTTTTATACGTAATTTGTAGTTTCCTGTTCTAATTATTAATAATATTTAGCACTTTGCTTTTCAATTAAGTTTCTACTTATTAAGTAACAAAATAACCCTAAGGTGACAAAGTATGATTTCTCCTTCCATTGGATGAGAAAAGGTGGATCACCAAAAGTGAAAAGTCAGAGCTAGTGTTGGGATATTTTCCCTAATGCTAAACTTCACTTTTGCCCTTAATGACCGATTTGTGGGTACAGGTCATTACTTTGTGAGCAAAAACTTTTGCCAAAAGCAATTTACCAGTCATTTAGTATTCCAAATTGCAAAGGATATCTGGCATTTCACAACCATTTAATATTGCCTCAACTCAAACTTCTGGTCTAGATTTCATGTGACCATTTAAAAGCCTTGGATATCTTCTGGGCTATGTTACTGTTCTTAGCAATCAACACTGTAATGAGTTAAATGAAAACCAACATGTGGCACATTGGGTGAATTTCCCTATACAATGCTGTACATAGGTTTTAATTTCCAATGAGAGGCAGCCTAGGGCAAAATGCTTTGGGCTTTTTAAATAAATACAAAACCATTATAAAAGAATTTGTTTTTCTCTCTTTGTCAAAGAGCATCCTGTCCTACCATTGCCTCCTTCTGGTTGGAAAAATAAGCAATGTAGTGACAAGACTTCACTTCTTGACTCTTAAATTGAGATTAAGAAAATGAAGTTGGATAACCTGAAAGTAGACTTGGAAACTGTAAGCATGGTGGCTATTACCTCTATTACCTATCTGAAAAGGCGGGAAAAAAAAATTTCTGTGAAGTTAACAGCTCATGCCGTGGACTTTCAAACAGTCTCAGTTTCGTAGAATTTAGTTCTCCCTGATTCAAATGATTTGTCAAATACATAATCAAAAAAATTGGGTTTCATTTTTACTTTATTAAAAACTTGTCAAATAAACACAGTTATAAGGATGGGGGTGCCGATTTTGGGTTTGGCAATATGGTTACTGTTCCTATCCTCCCCGCAAACAGTGCAGCTCCTATCAGAAAAAGAAATCACATACTGTACACCTTCTGTATAAGAGGGAGTTTTGATGAAGGATTTATGCCACAATGACTGAATCACTCCAAATTCCCTGTGGGCTCATCCATTCTATAAACACAGCAGTGTTCTCTGCCTTGTGGTGAAAGAAAATGCTCGGTGGATAAAAACACAATCCCAGCGTAAACTCTGACACACCTTGAGCAAAGCAGCATGGGGCTGGGGCGGGGAAGGCAGGTGCCGTGGGGGGCAGGAGCATTCTATCCCAGCAGACAGTCAGTAGGTCCCTTGGCGGGCGCTGGCAGGGAGCACAATCTGGGGTGTGAACATAGGCCGCCCTCAGGAACTGCCGCTGCTCTTTTTTCCAGGCCACCTACTGGCAACACAGAGGAAGGAAAAGCAACAGCAAAAGATCAAAGAAGGAGGAAAGCAAAAATAAAGAAGAAAAGAGAGAGAAAGATGGTGGAGCAGAGAAAAAAGAAG